ATTTAGCCTGAATATGAAAGATGGTTGGGCAAGGAGACCAAATGTCAACTGTCCAGTACCAGAGGATTTTAGTCTATATGTTTTTTGTATGTTTGTTTCTGTCTCGATGAGACACAGCTATGTGTGCACTTAATTTTACAATATCACTGTCCAATTCCAAGTTATGAAATTGAGTTGATATTGTAACTCAGGTTTATGACTTTTAGGTGAATGCTGGGTCACTTGGGTCATTAACTCTACCAGGCACTCTGGGGGTTTATCTAAAGCTGTCAGTTGCTAATTTAGGGGATTAGCTGAGCTGGGCAAAAACATTTCAATGCATTAGCGGTTTATGCCACCTCTCATAAAGAAGTCGATGAAGCTGATCCCCATCAGGTCCAGAGGAAACTCTAAATAACAATGTTTTAATGGTTCACTTCAGAACTATACAGATTACAGGCCCTGTTTAGCAGATCTCCTGTTTTTTGGAATTTGAAGAGAGACCTGAAGAAGAGTCAGGCTCAGGTCACCTGAAATGAAAGACTGCATTTGCTTTAGTTAGATATAGTTAATATTAATAGACTCAAACCTCACTATCGTCACAGTGGGCAAATACAAGACCAGTCACTCTGCACAAAGAGGGGGAGCAGCGGTGACTGGACTTTATTATACAAAGCTCCTGCATAACGAAAAACATCTATCTTGTATTTAGACAATATTTGCTTCTCCCGGAGTTCAGTTTTAAAGGTATGCTCCAGTTAAAATTAAAAATCAAACAATGAAATGCATAAAGGGAACACAGCCTCTGTACTCAGGGCTTCAGTTTTGCATCCAAATATTTATTTATTTTAACAGTTCTGCCCACACCCTTTTATCACTAATCTAATGATCTAGAATTTTGCTTTCTTCTTTGTAATGCAAGAAAGCTATTACTAAACACACTCACTATAAGCCCCTTGTTCTCTCACAAACAGGCATCCTGGTATATTAAAAGGACACTGTCATGACACATTAATGGAGGCTACCATTACTGAACTTGCCTTTCAGAATGCTAGTTCCCTGGTTGTCATTCTGATGCTTTGACTTCAGTGTCTAAGTCACTGACCAAGAACAATTAGAGATAATTAGTCTGACACTCATAAACTGCATGCTTGGGACTCGGACTGAAAAATACTGGAGTCAGACTTAGCTAGGTATCTGGCATTTTCAAAAAGAGGCCTGTAATGTCAGCCCCTATACCTCTCTCACTGACAGTTATTGACAGTCGGAACAAACTTTCTGTCAGTCATTGCTCAGATTTACAGACGTCATTTTGTGACCTAGTATAGATTCAGCCCTGCTTATCATACAATATCTGATAGGGATTCTGGTTTTCCTTGGCTGCAATCACTGTGTTGCATCTGACACTCAGCTCTAGTTGTGGGATGGGACCTGTCTTTCTTCCTGGCCAGAAGTACAGTTGATAGCACTACCTTCATGCATACATCCCTACATCTTAGTACAGCAATAGGACCAGAGCTAGGAAGTGCCCAAAATGATGAAGATAAGTGGCAGGGGAAGTGGTTTTAACAGTTCAGGTTAGATGGGAGATTGGTGGGAAAAAGACTGGGTCATAAAAAAAGGGTGGCCAGATTTTCAAAATGAAATCCTTGGACACCCTACTGACTACTCCCACAAAAACATGCCCCCATTTATAGCCACCCTTACAAAATAATGGCTCGATTTTTAACACACCCTTAAACAATTGGTCAGAAACTTTTGGAACAAGAAGCAGACATTCAAGGTATAAAGATAAAATAGATTTTAAGCAAGAGGCACCAAGATATGCATGCATAGTTAGGAAGGACGCCTTAAAGATATTAAGAAAAAAAATGCAGTGCACATTGCACACCACCCACCAAACTCCCGGAGGCATGGCCAATAAGGCGGGTGTCGCTCTACAGCATATGGTTTGTAGTGCTCCTACTAGTAACATGTAATACTTCAAAGGAAGACTGGGACAAAGTACAGAGTAGTTGAGTACACTACTTGTATTACTATGTTGGAGGAAGTTTGCTTAGCACCAGGACTTCTTAGATTGAAGAGCTAGAAAAGGTGCTACTGCTTTGTAGAGGTACATTACTTATAGTTAAACCTCGACAGCATATCAGTTGTTTCATGCCTGGAGTGCTGCATTTTCATGAAGACTGTTGTATTCCTTTAATGATTATATTGGCTGTAAAACATATAAAGAGTGGGCATTCAATAATAAGGCATACTTAATTTATTCTAACCTCAAACAAATTCACAAGCACTAGTTTCAACTTTGGGTATTTTGAACAAAATTATCACAGAAAATGTAGTTTGGAAACTTTTGCAAGGCACTGCATATCATAAACTTGACTTTTATAAATGCCTGCAGGTGACAGCTCCCATCTGTCAGGGACAATCAAACATTGACATCAAATATGATCTCCTGAAGAGGTAATGGTAGAGAACACCCCAGAAGTTAGTTCTGATTGAACAACATTTGATTAACACAGATATACACATAAAGAATAGTTTTATTCCTCTTGCACCTCTGCTCACAGTCTACTCAGCAACAGCATGTGTCTGTTGGCTCTTCCTACAAATTATTGTCATGCAAAGCTTGCAGGACTTGCACAGCTGAAAGGGCAAGCATCCCTGTGCAATCCGAGTGACAAGCAACAATATAATAAAACTTTGATTGCTTTCTCCCAAAGAATGCATCCATAATTCAATGCAGGATACAGAAAAGTGGACTCTTCTTTCCTAATCCCAGGAATTACACAGGAAACAAGTTCTGCTGTATGCAGGGCACGCAGGGCTAGGTGGCACAGTGCTGCAGGGGGTTGGGCAAGAAGGACATGCGTACCATGCAATAACCCACACAGCACGCCCCCGGTACTGGTAAACTGAGCCTACACGTCCAGCAAGTTAATGCTGCAAGTATTCTATGAACCGTGGTAATAGGGGGTGGCCATGGAGGGGTGTGGTTACTAAGGGGTGTGGTCACTGAGGGGCACTGTAAAGCTGCCCACACGCCTAAAGGTCCCCACACACCTTGCGATAATCGTATGATAATCTAAAGCTTTCTCGCACAGAGCACCTTAAGGCCGGACCTGGGCAGAAGCCTGGAAAAGAATAAGAATGTTTAACTTTCTGGCAGCAGCTGTGTTTAAACTTCAAACTTTTGCAGAGCTCCAAACAGGGTTGCTATCCAGTGCTTCCAAGTGTATCGGATAGTGTGTCCTATGCTTCCTATGACCCCTACATTATTACATGTTAGAGATATAGGGATTGTCTAGTTAGCAATGGTGTCTGGAGATCTGCAAGCAAGAGGTCTATAACGCACTACTCACCAAAAAGGTGAGTATTTATCTTCCTCTTTTCCAGGCTTCTATCAGTATTGGTTACTTAAGCAACAGGATAGTTTTCAATCCAAAGCTTTCCCCCACAGTACTTCTTTCACTAGGTGTTGGCAGTCTTTCAGGTTGAATTGCAGCCTGCATTATTCAACCAACTTCCTGTAAGCTCTGGCTGTCATGGACCCACCTCCGGAGGGGGAATCATCATGCATCCTTGCCTCACCATACTCCTGGACTGAGTGGCACTAACATTTTATTATGTGCGCGCTGCTCACTCCACTGCCACCAAGGAAAAAAAGAGGGCTCATAGCCTTACTAGACCAGCCTGAAAAATGCAGAAAAAAGATGCAGTATTTTGTTTTTGTTTTTTAAATTGACGTGTAGTTTGATGAAGCTGGAGTTTTGATGTAACTGAGTAGTATCTAAATGATTACTTAATTGTAGATTTTTTATTGCTAGAATGCTCTTCACGGTATTTAATCTAATGTAGATAAAAACATACCTATACATGTGCTGTGTAAAAGATGCATAATGTTTTTTTTGTTACACTAATATATGCATATTTTCTTCATATGCACGATACATTCAGTACACACTGTAAAGCCCAGGACCCCTTTGATCTCTAAATTAAACTTTTTCCTCAGTAAAAAACATTTATTGCAAAGTAATTACATTCTGCCACATGAATGCAGGAAGCGTTTGTTAAATAATTCTATCCCACAGGTAATTTTCTTCCATACTGCCAGACTGTACTTGAAAACATTTTTAAATGTGTGCAGTGGAGTGGATTCAGTAATACAATACAATCTGTTTTTTATTTTATTTTTTAATCAAGGATTGTAAATCTCTTCTTCAGTAGGTCAGGGGATTTTTTTATTGTATTTGACTGACTTTAAGCTGGCTACCCTCTGGATGACTTTTCAGTCTAAAGAGCTTTCCCAAATAGGTGAATTTTGGTATATTGATCGTGCATGTGAATATACTAGAATCATCTGCTCCATTTCTCATCATGGGTAATGACCAGCTCAATGTTCCATCTACAGATGACTTATTGTATAAGTCATCATTGGATCCTCTGCAAGACCTCTAACCAGAAATCATACCTTAACTAGTGATGAGTTTCAGGTTTGGGCCTATCCTAGATTTGGCCCAAATGGTTCATGTTTGGAGTTTGACCAATTGTGGAAGCTAGGCTTTGTGAAATTTCTCCAATGCAGCAGGATTAAATGAAGGCTGGTTTTAAAGTGTTTTTACTACATGATAGGAATAAGCACATACTTTAGAGCACATCATCTGGGTAGAGGTTTACTTTATCATTTCCTTTTATTGTATTTTGTGAATTTCCAGAACCTCTGGTCTTTTCAAGGCAATGAATGTGTTTACAGACATAAGGAGAGATACATGTAATGTTTCAGGTCTATGAATGTCATGTGAACAGCTGCCCTACAATAGTAAAAGCTGGCCATCAATATTTTAGAAGAATGTTCAGTGCTGATATTTTAATAGGAAAATAGTTGGATAGAAAAAACATGTTTTGAACTTTATCGGACAGCTGCATCTTCTAAGGTTACAAGACATATGTTTACTGGAACACTGTGTATGAGGGAACTGTCAAAGCACAGAATTAATCATATTTTTCCTTATTTCTTCCAGATATATCAAGAAATTTAAAAGCATCATCATCAATATCAGACAAAATTATTCAGAAACTGAGGAATAAGCATGAATTTACTATATTGCTGACTGTAAAACAGGCGGTTTTAAATTCCGGTGTTATTCTTTCTATTCATCAATCGGATCACAGGTAATTTCATATATGTTTGTTTGTATCGCCTAATCGACTACATTAGTGCATAGAAGGGATGAGATTATTTCATTATTATTGGGGCAGGTGTGAAAAACCTGGGTTTACTACTGCAGCTAAGTAGACATGTGCGATTCGATTCGTTCCGAAATTCGTTTTGGACGAATTTTCAGAGATTCGGATGCATCCGAATTAAAGCTAAGATGAATGCAAACGAATCCGAAATTCCCGATTTCCCGAAATTCGTTATTAAACGAATTTCGTTGCAGCAAAACGACATTAGGAAAAGAAAAATTACAACAGTTACCTTCTCCAACATTTCTATGGTTAAAGTACAGAAGCAATAGCGTAGAGGTTAGAGGACAGGTTTGTCATTGTTAAGGTTGCAGGTTCTAGTCCCGGGTAGGTACTGGATAAAGATTTTTTTTTTCTTTGCTTTTGAATTGGCATTCTCCTATTGACCTAAATGACTAAATGTGATTTCTCATTTTGCTATTGGACGAATTCCGTTGCAGCAAAATTTTTTTAATGAGCCATGACGGCTATAGTTTAGTGGTTAGAGCACAGGGTTGCCATTGATAAGGTTCGCAGGTTCTAGTCCAGGCCAGGGCGTGTAAAGTTTTTTTTTTTTCATGAACGAATTTCGGCACCACTACCGCTAACGAATTTCGTCCGAAACTAATTTAATTTCGGACCCGAAAAACGAAACAAAACAAATTTTTTTTTTGTTTCAAAACGAAACTAAACTAAACGAATCTTTTGCTGGTGCACATGTCTACAGCTAAGTATTAATTAAGAGTATCTAAACCGAAAAAGAAAAATTTAATATATTTCAGTTTACCAAATCCTTACATGTGATGGCAGTATTTTTTTTTAGGATTTTATTTATTTATTTTCAGCTGATGATCCAGCCAGTAACACACCTCCTGCTGTGGGGTGGCTCCTCTCTGTCGAGGAGCAATGGAGACACCCTTGGACAGCAACATTGTCATCCTGTGGAGAGGGTAGTGTTTGATGCACTAGCAGATTTAGAGTATAAAAGTAAGTTATATTTACCTGATCCTAGAAGCCGGCTTGCTCTTAGACTGGCCCCTGGAGCCTCTCTTCCCCCCTCGACTGCAGTGGTCTAAGGTCCTGTAAATCATCACATTCTATACACAGTGTATAGACATAAGGATGCTGAAGAACATTCCAAAGCTGCAGTGTAGGAGGAGAGAGGTTTCAGTGACCAGAGAAGCATGGAGCTGGCTCAATAGTTCAAGTGAGTATATAACTTTTTCTTAATAAAAACGGGCACTGTGGAGGTAGCCACTTTTGCCTGGTGTTCTTCTTTAAGGATTGGTAAGCAGCAATATATTGCATTTTTGCTTTTGGGTTAAGATATTCTTTAACCACTTTTCCTTACAACCATTGTAAAAAAACAGGGGGAAAAACAAATAAATACCACCAAAAGAAAGCTCTGTGTGTCTAAAAAATGCAACTAGTGTAATCACTTTTAATTTAATTTGGTATCAACTTCTTGCAATCCTCAATACATCAACTATGGGAGACAATCAAGTGTTCTGCATGCAAATATAATAACAAGGAACTGATAGAAGAAGAGAGCAGATTATGCAAAGGGATGTCCACGTCAGTTTCCTACTACATTGTCCAATCAGAAGGCTGGGGGGGGTAGAGGGAGGAGACCACCGTATTCCTTGTACAGTCTAAAACTGTAAAGTAGCTTTATCTGCTTGGCTGTGCTGTGTAAATCTCAGAACTGTTTGAAAAGAGAGACAAATCATTTGGCAGGTAAAACAGCTTCCTTTTATATGTATTTTATCCTTGCATTTAGTTGTTTCCCTGGAGTTCAGCTTTAAATAAGTTTAATACATCCACATAGTTTGATTACATTTTAAATGTGACTTGTTGCCTAAAAAAAAATCACATCTCTGGGCAAACAAGAAAAGGACGCTTGCAGTATGGCTACCCCTGCAATGCAAGGGTTAAGAGATTGCTTACAGGACTGGAGTAAAGCAAATTTACTTCCCTAATCCTCACTCCCGCTGCCCCTCTTTGGGCTGCCAGACCAAATCTCTGCAGTCGCTTCACCCCTGGGCTATGATGGTTTAAGGACCACTGATATGGTCAGTAGACATGTGCGATTCGTTTCGTTCCGAATTGAAATTCGGACGAATTTTTGGAAATTCGGACATTCGGATGTATCCGAATTCCGAATTACAGACATAACAAATGCAAACGAATCCGAATTTCCATTTCCGAAATTCGGTAGCGTTAGTACGAATGTTCGTTTCGTTTTCTGTTCTTATTCGTTTCTTATTCGTTTCGTTCGTTGGAGCAAAGTGACATTAGAGAAGGAGAAAAATATTTTTTCCCCCTCAAATGTCACTTTTGCTGCAAACGAACGAACGAAACGAATAAGAAACGAATAAGAACAGAAAACGAAACGAACGTTCGTACTAACGCTACCGAATTTCGTCCGAATCCGAATTCCGAATCCGAATTGACTTTCACACCCGAATCCTGAAAAACGAAATAACACAAATCCGAATTTAAAACGAAACGAAACGAATTTTTTGGCAGTGCACATGTCTAATGGTCACTTTTAATGCAGGCTCCATAGACCTGCATTAGATGTGAGGACGCCTAGGGACAGTCCACAGCCGGAGTGGAGTAGAGAACCCTGGGAGACCAAGAATCAGGTAAGTAAACCTGCTTTACTCCAGTCCAAGCACTTATCTCTTGCAGTGTGGGGGGTAGATTTTTGGTTCGACAAACAGTCCTTTTATTTTACGTAGGATTTGAAGTAATTTTAGTGAACAAATAATTACATTTCATAGTTATTATAAAAGGGGTTTTCCATTTTATTGTAAATGGGGATAACTATCTGATATACCTTTTTATGTAGCAGCTACTAAAAATGGAATCTGTCAGCTTTAACAACATTATTACAAGGGAATTTTTTTTTTTTTTTTTTTTTTAAACACATGGAA